AGACTTTTGGTCTAAATTGGTACTTATATCGTTATTATTCTAGCCCAAAATTTTATAAACATGGTTTATCGTGTCTGTCACTGCAGATTCTGTTATAGCGACTCTATTATTATCATTACTGTTAATATCCGTACTTTTTGAACAACAAGGTGTGAAATAGCTGTCAAATTAAAATCGTTGGTAGAATCGTATTTATGGGACATCTTTTGTCACGGGAAATATATAGACTACCTACATTTGTTGATTATGATTTATATAGGTTATCATCTTAAATCTGCATTATCTTTAAATAAATCCATTTCCGATATGATTTTTTCGAAATTAAAAAAAGGAAATATAATTCTCTCAGTATCTTCAAGTATAATTCCTATACCAATGCGGAATAATCTCAGATACAAAATGTTGAATTCGTACAATTTGTCTTCATGGCACCTTAGTAATGAAACCATTCCTCATTTGATCTTATTGAAAGTAACAGATCTTTTTTGCTTTTGTATCCGCCACTCTGTTACTTTCAGTAAGACAATGAATAAACCTCTACTTGTAAATGCAACCTTTTGTTTTCCATATATACTTATAATAGCGACACTAACCGACTTCGCTCAGGTAGCAGAACCAGTAGCAGAACTAAAACTTCTTTACGCGCGCCTGACTTGGGCAGTAGGTAAGCTGGTGAATGCGTGACAAAATTGTTACGAAAAGTGTGATCGGGCGAGGCGAACGGAAGTTGAGAGGGAGATATAAGGTAGTGAAGATTGAAAGAGAGAGTTACGTTCCGTATAATAATGTAGGGGCGAGAGAGAGAGAGAGAGAGAGTTGTGCGAGCACACATTTACGGTTGAGTAGGCTCTATAGAATTAGGAGAAAACTATTAAACGTTACCATTAATTTTAGCAGGAGATTTCAATGTTAATTTCGCATAACAACATGGACAACTCATGGAGAACTTTCTACAAGATAAATTAGAACTATATACAAATGAATAATAACCTAAATGAGACATGGAACAACAATTGATTCAGTTTTCTCAAGACAATTTTCTCATTTTCATTCGAAAACATATGTATCTTATTTCTCATTCCATAAACCTATTGTCTCGGTCTTTCAATCAACCACAGTAATTACTGATGTATCCGATAATGATAATATTGAATAAAAATAAAAAATCTATTGAAAAATGTTAATTTATCAATAAAAACCCATAATATTTGTATAAAATTACCTAACGATCTACCTTTGAAGATAACATATAACAAAAATGCCATCAAAGTTATTCACCACGTGAAACAAAACCAACTCATTTCTTTATTAGGTACGCATCGCTTCATGAGGTCAATTGATTTTTTTTATGCGGTAGTTTGAATTTTCCGAAAACTCCTGAGATATTACTCTGATTTCAATTTGTATGCTGTGAAGCAGTGATGTGTATGTGCGAACGTATCCATTTGATATATGGATTGAATGTCGTATCCGTCTAAATAGATTTCCAATTCTTATATTGTATGTGACCATTGAACACTATTTTTAACATTGAAATTGGTATAGTGAGTTATTCTCAATAGATATATAGTTTTTGAGTTCATCGCGTTCAGATAGACAGACAGTCGCGACGGAAAGATTGTATTTCATAATATGTAGCGAGATGAAAAATCTTGACGAACTTTTTACCGAATGATCAATCTTTACACTACTCTACAATTACAGAGAACTAGGAATTTCCATTCCCGTGATTATGTAGTAGTAACGTACGCCAGCAAACCAGTCGTGAAATTGGTTTCTACGTCATCACTACAGTGCAAGTATTCATTCAGTGCACCAAAGTTTAGTCGGAATCGGAATTAGAATCTCTGCTAGACGGGTTTGAATGAGTGTAACGATCGTGACCACAGAGACCTGCACCGGGTTACCTTTTCAATGCCGAGTCGACGCGTCAATATGCACGAACACGTGAGAGAAATACTTATGTTCAACTACTTACTGAATTGACTACCTTGTGGGTACAACAGTTCATGTGAAACCTTTTAAGTTACATCGGAATCTTTCATTTTAGGGTTATTTCTAAACGTAGGTAGTTCCTGTAATTTTAATTAAGGTCAGTCACTTAATTCACATAACAATAACATGCAGAAAATTGAAGAAACCCACATAAAAAACGAATAATAAGTATAGGTATATACTTATTTTTTTTTCGTTCTAAACCAAATACCGAACAGTAATATGTTTGATTTAAATAAAAATCACCATCAACGACCGGATCGTCCAATAGATAATCACGAGTCTCGAAAGGAGAGAAGAGAGTTTGGAAAACATAATGAAGTATTACAGGTGTATTTATTTTTTCGTTGAACATTTGAACAGATTTCGTGATCGGAAGACGATGTTCGTTAAATATGTTCATATACAATTATATGTTTTTCATATGATTACCTAGACCTTTCTTTAATTATTTTTATTCCAGATGGAAACATAACGTGCAAACTTAAAGTCTGGCATGACACTTTTGTCACGGTGTCTAAATTTCCATCATAAATTTCCATCAAAAGTTGCTAAAAAAACATGGCGTTGTTGATTTTTTTCTCAAATTCTATTGAGAGGATAGTTACCAATGTTTATATAATTACTGTAATTATCATTGGGTACGGGATTTTTATTACATTATGTTATTATACAATGTGTCCAAGACTAGGAGAGATATAAAGTCGGTTATATTAAGAGAACTTGCCCACTTGAGCACAAAAGTGCTTGTTTTGGATAACTCATACCCGGTGATTATTTTTTCTGGTCTGTATGAAAAATTAAAAATGGTAATGGTTTGTCGATCACTGGTAAAAATTTTTCCACCGGTACCGGTGGCAATTTAATTACCGCCCATATTAGCGAGAAATTACTTTCGTGTGTGATCTCACATTCCATGCGGAATATTATTTTGTAATTATACCCCGAAGACAAGTGTGGAATTTTTCAGTGTGATTTTTCATTTTGAGTGTACTTTTGTGTTGAAATAAAACTTTATAGGGTAAATTTGCGATATAAATTTATATCGAGATATTACACTCTTNTTATTCAATAGAGAAAGTATATTTTCAATTTTCTTCGTTCGAAATGAAAATTCCGAGGTAAATTTCAATCATTTTTCCCGGTGATGAGGAAAGGTTGGAATGAAAGTCGGTAAATGTCATTGTACAGCATAAAAAGTGATGATAAAAAATATCTGAAAAATAGTGTAGGTAACGAAAATGGCAAATTTTTGTTTTTTTAGGTCTTCGGAACTAACCATAATTTTCAAAACGCTGTTTAAATAAGTTTTCCAACTCAACTGACTTTGTATCTCTCACGGTTTTAGATTTTCCAATGCTGGTCTTATCTTGAACACAAAGTATGGGACTATATAATTTTTTTGTATTTCTTTCTTGATTTGTACACTAGGCATTCTATCAGAAAAGTTAGGGTACCTACTCCTCTGAATTCATAATTATGAACTACAGAACACAGTGTTCTCACTGGCGAGAATCGCGGGGTCACTCTTCCTACAAAAATCAAATCTGTTTCATGGGTACATATGGTACCGAGTAGGGATATACGTGATTCTGATTAGACAAAAAATTAACATTGAACTTCTCACTTCTTACGTTGGAAGGGATCAAAGTTTTCTGTAGTAAGTACCTACCTTTTTCATTCGAATGCCTATAAGAAGAGCAGTAAAGAAATTAACGATTGAATTTGTGATAAAATTGGTCGATACTTGATAATCCATAATGAACGTATTTGGATAAATTTTTATTATGAGACTTTTACATCTTGTTTCACTGCATACAACTGGTAGGTATAGCTTCTGCACGGTGTGTATCTAACACGGTATTTGACTCCTGAATCGTTCAATAATTCTATTTAATATATACCCATGAAGGCATGTTCATAAAATTATCAACGATATTGACGACGTGGAAGTTGAAATTCGTCTTCTATAAAGGTAGATACCTATGCAAGAGTGTCAGATTGAAATAAAAATACCCACGCCATCTTTAATTATTTACCTACAACTGAGTCACAGTTCATACATTTTTTTATTCAATTGTAGGTTTTTCATTACCTTTTAGTATTTTCATTGAACAAACATCAAAGTTTACGTCACCTACTCAGTAAAATTAATAAAATTTTACTGAACTGTGTTGATCAATAGGGAAATCAAGCCGTGACTTTCTCTGGCGACTAATCTGTTTGAAATTTCAGATAATTCGCAAAAGATTTTTTTGAATGTAGCAAATATTCTTTATTAAATAAAAACTATACCTCTCATCATGCACGAATGACGTAATATATTTGTTGCAGGGCAGGTTCTCAGGCCACAGGCATCCTAACGTCCCAGCTAAAGACAGCCAATGGCTTGGTAAGTGGGGCGGGCTTAGAAATGTCGACTCCGCCCCTTAGCGGTGCTGGTCAACTCAATTCACAGGAGTTTCAAGGTTTATTCATTAACCAACACGTCAACTATGCGCAGCCCGCGGTCACTGGACAGAATTTGCAGATTGTCAAAAGAGAGCCGGAAGACTTGAGTCACCATCGAAAGTTGGATTGTAGTTCTCCTAGTTCGGGCAGTCTTGATGGCTCCATAATCATTACAAAACAGTCCCGACCAAAGGTGAATCATAATTAGTGATACGTGATAGTTAATTAGTGTTGTATTCCTCGAAATCTATCACCTTTATGAGTTGTTTATTTGATGTGCATGATGACTGTTCGTGAATAATGCTGTGAATGCTCACCCATTTCTGATGAATGATAAAATATATTTTGGACATTCTACGATGGGATACAGTTTGGGTACTATAGCATCCACTGATAACCAATCATTTCGTTTATTAACTGCAGTAGCAAATAATGCATGACGTGAATAATTGAACTTTAGATTATGTGCTAAAGTAGATTAGATCTAGGGCCCACCTTGGGCAGCAGGCATGCCGCTAATATCCCTTGGTCGTTATAGGTCGTTCTGGTATCATCCACCGGTTGCCAATCCGGAGACCTGGTGGTGGACGTGAACACTATCAAAGACGAGAGTCATCACGGCCTCAGCTCCCCCCAGCACGGCTCGCGGTCTATCAACGGAACACCAAGCTCGACGCACAGCAGCCTTCCAGCGGATGGTTCAAATACTGGGCCCATCGAGTTCATCTCTGCGAATGGCCTCAAACCAGCCATGTACACAACGCAAATATTCGCCCCCATGAGTAATGCACCACACAGCAGCGGTAGTGGAACTCCTTCACCGACACCTTACACGGATCATGTTCAATACAGTACGCAAAGTTCGATTGGTGGTGGAAGTGCCGGCGGTAACACAACAGTTTACTCTTCTACCGGTAGACCTAGTAGTTCATCTGCTTTTTCCGTATCAGATCCGTACTATCGCGAATATTTCACCACCATTGCTTCCGGGGCCGGTACCCCGGATCCCGTTTATACTACGCAGCTGAGGCAAAATCAACTGGGATATGGAGAAGAAGCCGCTAGTGGTGGTGCAACAGCAAGTTTTGTGGAAAGATACGTTCGTCAATCCGTATATCACGGGAAAGGGGTGATAGCAGCTGCTACCGCTGCTGGACTGACCGTAGATCTTCCGAGTCCAGATAGTGGAATAGGTGCCGATGTTATCACGCCCCGCGACCAGAGTACGCTGCAGCAGGTGAGCCCTAGAACTTTTCTAATTAAAAAATGCTACCTATTTATAGGTGCCCATAGCGTTTAACAAAATAATTCGATACTTTGTTTCACTTATTCATTTACCAAGTATATTAAGACAAGGTTACATTGCAAGTACTTTACTGGAAAACTAAATTCCTAGGTAGCTACTGACATGCTAACATGCGTCAATCAATGTGAATTTTCAGCTTCTCACTTTTTTATAAATATACCTAGTGCTAAAGTTTTTTACACTACAAACATGTAGAAAATATTGTATAAACTTCTGATAAATTTGAAATTCAATTGAGTATTATCAATATCAAGAGTTAGGACACTATATGACGAATCTAAAAAAAATAGGAGATGATGCATAGTGATTTTCAAAATCTAACTAAGAAAAAACGACAAAATGGTTTTATTCCAAATTGACCTGAAGTAAAATTCTAGAAATAACTTTAGATAACCCAATAGCGCCAACTTCATTGGTCAAACACTTATACACCAAATAATAGTATTCTTCTTTTCAATATTAGGGGGATCACAGGTTCTTTAGTGTTTTTCTGGCAATACTTACTAGGTACCTGCCAATATGAGGGAGAGGTAGTCAATGTCAATGGCCAATATATATGGTAAATTTATTCTATGAAATATTTGTAAAACATCTTTCATGGTATTTAGTTAGTATTTTCGAAGAGGTTTTAGATTAATTGCATTGTCTTGTCATTAATTTATCAGCCGTGATGTACCGATTTGTAAAAATTAAACGATTCAAGTTTGTTGAACTGGTAATTATATGATCTACACAATTCATATATGGACATCTATAAAGACCACAGACAGTAACAATATAATGAAATATATTTTTGGGAAATGAAGGTTTTGAATTTCTACTTCTCCATTTTCATACAAAAAATGTGGGAATCTTTCAAAGAAAGGAAGGAGGCAATCAATTTCAAAAATTAACTCTGTACAAAGATGTGAAGATAATGCAAAGAAGTAACTTTCAGACAGAAACTGGAAGGAAATGCCTTTTCGAAACAACTATTTTCATATAATCATTGAATTAAATGAAAGAAAAAACTTTCGAAACACTTTACTCTATTCCGTTTGTATTCCAAACATTCGTAATGGAATCGAATCTGATATCAATCAAAGGATTCCTACACAATATAATAAATGAAAGAAGTAATATTTCACATACATGGAACACTGTCATCCCCACTAGTAGACATCCGACATTTGCCTTATCGGCTTTTCAGAACCAAATACGGATAATATTATTAGAAAAACCCTCAAGTTGTTCATAAAATTACGACTTTTTAACGCGGAATGAGTTGAATCCACCCATGTCATTGATAGTTCGTAAATGACGTTCATCCGTTTATTTGATTAAATCCCAGCAATAGGAATCTTGTTTATATTTTTAGGAGAGATTAAATAATTTTTGGGAAAGAAAGGTTTTGGCTTTCTACTTCTCCATCTATTTATTATATTGAGGAATTCTGTGAATGATATCTGATTCAATTCCATAACGAATGTTTGGAATACAAACGGAATAAAGAAAAGTGTTTTTTCGTATAATTCAGCATTCATATATAAAAGTATTCGTTTCGACAGTATTTTTCTTTCTTGTAATTCAATGTTTATATGGAAATAGCTGTTTTGAGAGGGCTTTTCCTTCCAGTTTATGTCTGAAAGTTATTTCTTTGCACGATCTACACATCTTTGTATAGAGTTAATTTTTGAAATTGATTCCTTTCTTCCTTTCGTTGGAAGATTTCCACATTTTTTGTATCAAGATGAAGAAGTAGAAAAAAAAACCTTTTTTTCCCAGAAATAATTCTCTCCTAAAAATATACCCTTTCAATTCAAGTGAAATATATAAGTTCAAATTAGGTACTAAGTAGGTATTTCAGATGCAGATCTAAATGAATACTGATCAGTTTCTCAAATAGTTTCTAGATAGTTCAGTTTATTCTACCACTTTTGTGAGTTTTCCATAAGACTTTTTTTTACTCTCATTTTTTCATCAATTACAATTTGCCTGTTTTCATAATCATGAAATCCATCAACAAAAATTTGGAGATAACAATGTTTGAATAAGTAGAAATATATTAGAACCATATAACTTATGTTATGGAATTGGCCGATACTTGATGAAAATCCATAACGTATTCAAAAAACACGTTATTGTACAGTGGAAATCCCATAATGAAATAAAGTGTTTTTTGAATACATATAACTCATCTTGATAAAATTAGATGCACACAATTTGAAACATTAGGTAACATGTCATTGAGATTGAAAAATCAGTATCATAAAAAAATTAAATATTGATATATTTTGGTGATAGGTACTCGGAGTTCGATTCATTTTGATCGACTATTTCAGTGACCGAAAAATCACTCGTATGAAAATAAACATTCTTCTTTAAATGACACCATTGAGAGGATGAATTATACAGAGAATAGATATATGCACATCCCTATCACACCTGAACTTCTCAACAACTGATTTTTCCCTCTCTTTCTCGCTCACTGAGCTGTTCATCACAATGAGTCGGGCACGAGTTGTGTTCGTTGTTTATCCCAATACTAATACCTGTCGAATAATCACGTTATTCGAACAAAAGATAGCAGGTAAAACTGGAGGATTAAGAATTTTATATAGATATTTATCATATAACTGTTGCAGTCTTTCGACTACACGGAACTGTGCCAAACGAACCCAACATTATTGGATCCTTTATCTCTTTCCCAAAGAAATGGTAGTAACTCCCAATCACCAGGAGCACAACCAACCAGCCGAAGTCGACCCTGGCATGACTTTGGCAGGCAGAACGACGCGGACAAAATACAAATTCCAAAAACGTAAGTTCAATTATTAATTTATACTATTTCAACAAGCTTGTAAGAGAGTACCGATTCAATGAATAAGAGCTTTGGGAATGGTCAATATATTTTTCTTGAAATGTCTTAATTCAATAAAACCTCTCATAATATGAAAAAAAACTTGGTTGCGTATCTATTGGAAATATTATGAAAATGGCATGCATTGGATTTCGAGAACGTTGTACCTACTCTATTGTGTTGTCCATTAGATTTTTTTTGAACTCTACACATCAACACTTGTTTCTTGAAGCTGTATTTGACTGAAAATCCGTTATTCCTTTCCTTCCATATATCACTTCATTTTTTAATGAAAAACAGGTAAGGTACCCACAACCATAGTTAATTTCAATTTCACGAATTAATTGATTTGTTAGTCTTTTTTAATATTCTCATAGAATTTTGTTGCTGCAAATACGTGTTTGTGTTGACGGTAATTCCAACTTTAGAAGTAACTTGCTACTGTTCTTTTATATGGTGAACTCGTGTATAAACGGATTTGATATAAATCTTAAGCACCTGAGAGAGAATATAACATATCATGCAAAGTGTAAACATAATGGCGATAAAAGTAACGAAACTGACTACAACAGCCTGAACATCAAATCCCTAGACGCCATTAAATGTGAACACATTTTAAATTTCTGGGAAGAAACCTAAATTTCTTTTACATGTGCATAAGTGCAGAAGTAAAAAAACTGTGTGAATTACTTGTTCTAGCTGCAACATTTTCCAGTGTCTTGAACTGGTCAAACTTGATTTGGCCAGTGTCACACGATATAAGTAGATACCCACCTTATGTCATGTAACGTCTAACAGTTGTAATAGTACCAGAAGCCTGTTAAACGAGTTTTGATGATTCACAACACGCTGTATTGTATTCTCTACCGTTCTTTCTACACTCTGCATTTCGTTATTTGTCACGTACCTTTTTATAATTTTGAACTCATAGGTCATCGGATCACCTGCAAACTACCTGGCCAGCCACATTTGCCTCTATGTACTGGGAAAGTAAACAAACGGGTTTCATAATCATTTTATCCATTATTCTCGAAATAAAAAATTAGGTTATGGCTACCTACCTAGGACTTAATCTTTATAGTGAATTCATGTGGAATATACTGAAATAAGGAATTTCATCTTCAACTCAAGTTATTTCTCTCTTGCAGTGAATGATACTATAAACAAATTCTTGCTTCACCAAAGTGACCTACTTTTTCTTCTCAATAGGTAATGAGCGACCTATTTGAAGATACACTTTCTCAAATGAGTTTTGACATTCCTCTTCAAAAACAAATACGTTGACGATGTCATTTGTGCAATACCTCATGACAAATTGCTGGAATTCTGGATGTTGTCAATATATATAATCAGATACGTGAATCATCTGTAGAACTGATAATTTCTTTGATTTCTGACTGGTATCAAACCTACCTACCTATCAAACCTATTCAGGAAGATATATCAATTACTTTTCTTTTCATAGAAACTTCTCAATGAAATCATCCAAAACTAACAGTAGGTACCTTATATAAATTCTAATAAAATCAAGTGAAATTTATACACGTATTATTTTTTATTTTCAAGAAAAAGTCGTTCGTAAATAATGTTTTCTTAACGTAAAACTTCAATATCAGTGTATTGTATAACACACAGACATATGTACATATACCGAGGTGCCACTTTTTTCATGGGGTTTTTTTGGTTACTTTTGAACCATAAGAGTAGGAGGTCCGTCAAATGGACAGACAGTTGCATTCATAGAAGCACTGTCAAGTAGTTCAAATGAATCGAGAATATCAGGGCCGGTTATGGAGATATCATGAGAGAAGTAGATTTTGTCATTTTGATTTTTCTTTTATTTCCCACGTTATTTCGAAAATAAAAAAAAATGTTAACGGCATTTTTCATTCGATAGTAAATTCTCCTCAATATGACGTAATGAAATTTTGAAATCAACGTTTCGAATTCTCTGGGGCACCCTCAACATCATTTTTTTCAATACGGACCTGCATATTTATGACACTTTTAGAAATAACTTTTCATGCTTAATTCAACATAATTACATACAATGTCATTCAAAGTTGATTTTCAGGTGATTTTTACCCTTATCCAAATTTCTTTGGTTCGGATCTGTATTAAATTGACCTTTGGTGAAACTAACAACATGCAATACATTTTGATAAGAAAATAAACTCACTCATATCAAACTGAATAAAATGTATCGGAATCAAAACAAGAAACAAGTAATAAGTATTCACATATTTCAAAAGTGGAGAAAAACCTATGGCCTAATTGCACACACACCGATTGTGGACGGCCGATTTTATACCGGTCGTCCAAATTCCAATAGTGAACCACATGTGGCAACGACATCTGGCACACATGCTTACCGGTGAAAAATTAAATGATTGTTCGAAAGCAAATGAAAATTAATGATGTAAAATGCACTTTGCGGTTTTGGAACTCAAACTTTTGCTTATTTCGTCTCCTTGAATTTAAATATCTTCCAGTGCATTATCAATCTTCTCGTCGCGAGGAATCACTATTGTCGGATTTGTCATTTGTTCCGTTGTAACAAATTATATAATCGAAATTCAAAATCATTACGATATGGTTTTTGCAAGGATTGGTATTTAAATCTAAAATCATTGTATTCGCGTCTCTTGACTATTTTATTAACAGCAGTTTCTGATAAATTATCACTGGCCACAGTTCTCGATCTTTTTTCTGGATTCAATTGAATTTGGGTCAGAACATTAACATCGTTGATAGACTTGTTTTTCGTACATACACACAACTATAGGTTTATTGAATGTGTTATTTTCAAATAATAGGCCGTGGATAAAAAAGAACATAACAAGAAATGGCATATTATTTGTCACTTCGTTCATTATTGTGTTACATAAACTCTTTGCCATTAAATACTATTGTGAGTAATTTCAATTCAACTTATTCGATATGATAAGATACACAAATGACTGAATGTATGGACTGTACATAAAACTAGATAGGAATTTGTTTAAATCACAACAAAGGTATGATGAATTATATCCTGAAAGAAGAAAATCAAATATTAAAATGTTTCAACGTTACTTGCACATAATTCTTTCATTAAACCTAGAGTTCCTTATGTAAGACGAAACGAACCTATCAATGTTCTGACCCAAATTGAAAATCTGTTTTTCCGTTAACCAGCTGTCGCACCCCTACGAACGACAACTCTCAGAAGTTGAGAAACTTGTGCGAGCTAAGGACTAACGAGGTCTTACCTTTTAACGTGTGGACGGTTGGACGATAGAAAGTGAAAATAGATCATTCAGCCTGGGGTTTGAACCGCCGACTAACACAGCGGTCGATTTGAGTGAGTGAACAAAGCACCCACTTCGAATCGACCGGCTATCGTCCGACAAATTTGAATGAATCCAGGAATAGGATCGAGAACTATGACCATTGAATGCAATTTATCAAAAAGTGCTGTTGATAAAATAGTCTCTCTCTCTCTCTCTCTCTCTCACTCTCTCTCTCACTCTCTATTTTGGATGGTCGTTGTTTCCTATCTTCAGGCGCATTTGACCAATGCTCCTCCTGTTACGTAACTGGCTGTTACATAACAAAAGCTTCGTCGGGGGACAAAGACTGTCCTGCAGTTAGCAAGTCTGTGTCCGAAATGAGGTCTACTGTTCTTGGAAATAAAACTATTGTCTTCTTCATTAAATAGTATTGTTGCAATCCCACTCCCACGTGGACATCCGGTCCACCCCGGATTCCAACCGGCGTGAATGGGAGCAGGTATTATAAATATTTTACACAAACACACGGCGGACATCACAACACAAACTGAATTCCGTCTCCAACAATGGCGTCCGCGTACCTTCTTTGTGGACGGTCGCTATCGGCACGTCCGTCCACCACCACATCGGAAACGGAACTCTGATAAAATAGTCAAGATGCACGGGTTCCATGACTACAAATACCAAACCGTGCAAAAACTATATCGTAATGATCCTGAAAGAAGGTTGCAATTAAATAATTGGTTTTAACGGAAGACGAAACGACATTCACAAATTCTGGCATATTTAATCGAAGGAACAAACATTTTTATGCCACAGAAAATCCTCACTCAATTCATGAAGTTAGACATCAAAATCGTTTCTTTTTGAACACATGCTGCGGTTTAATAAATAATGAATTACTAGGACCCTATTTTACAACCTAACCGGATCAAAATATGTAGAAATCATAGAAGAAATGTTGGATGATCTTTCTATGCCATATCGGCGTAATAGTCCCTAATTCCAACAAGACGGATGTGTTTCACACAACCCCAGAATAGCCACAGATTATTTAAATCGAACTTTTTCTGATTCATGGATTGGAACAAGAGGTCCAGTGGCATGGGCTGCCAAATCTCTGGATTTGAATCCACTGGATTTTTATTTGTAGGGATACCTCATAAATGAAATTTATGATACTATGAACCCGACAACAGATATTCTTCACGAGAATATTGAGAATGCATTGAAAGGTATTCAAAGAGACAACATAAGCAAATGTATAACAATTTCATTAGTTCGGACTTCCATTGTCTCATATGATATGAATTGATTTGAAATCCCTTAAAGAATCTGTAAAACATTAAAAAGGTTAGCTGAAAAATAACAATCATGTTGAGCAGAAATACTAAAATTACAATGAAATAAAAAATTATATATCATTTATGATGTAAATTATTTATGTTTTTCTTGAACTTCCTGAGATTATTTTTTGGGCTCTACACCTATATATGTTGTCCACTTTTCAATCATCCTGCCGCATAACCTCACATATTCTAAGTGTTTTTTTGTATATAATTCGAATCCTAATTTCCCTATAAAATCCATGACCTTGAAGTATGTTTCACGATGAGATTTAAACTCTGAATTGCACCCGTACGAAGGCGGGATAGATTGATAATTAGTAATTTTTTCCAAAAGAATCAAACAATTGTAAAAGGATTTGATTTTTGTTTGACACTTTGGAAGCAATCATCACAATAAAATATGTATTCACCCAAAAAACCACTGAAAGCACACATGTAACAAATCATATACAACTTCATATATAACTGACATGTGAAATAATTCTTTCAGATTTTCACCAGTTGGCTTCAAGTACCACTTAGAGACACCGATTTCAACGTCACAGAGGCGGGAAGATGACAGGATCACTTATATCAATAAAGGGCAGTTTTATGGTATAACACTGGAATATATACCAGATCCAGAAAAACAACTCAAATCACAAACTGTTAAGGTGAGTTGTATTCAATTTCATTAATTCACAAAAATGAAAATCTGAAATATAAAGAATTGAAATGAAAAATGAACATATGTACCGAATAAAAAAAGTACAATATAATCTCTCAATTTATTCTGGAAATTTGTTTTGGTGAATTTTCAATAGTTGTGAAAATACTTTGAAATCAATAACAATTTTTTTAGTTTGTATTCAATATATGACTGTAATGAAAATATTAGTCAATTTGAAACATCTAATTCATCAGTTACATTCAACATTTACAATATCAACTATTTTCATTAAATATAAGTTACATTACAACAACAAAAACGCCCTGAAACCAAAAAAAATCGATAAACACTTAAAACATAAATTACGTACGATCCCAGACGCTGAACCCTACGTAACCGTTGCAACTTCATCCCATTAGGGGGGGGGGGGAAGTTATTTAGATCGGATCGTATCACTTCGCCTATAGAACAACAAATAAGGAACTCGCGTTCCCGGGGGCTTCAGCATGTATTCTTCCTGCACGGTCTTGACCGAAGAATCGTCTTACCTTACGCTAGTTGCACACACACCGATTTTGGACGGCCGACTTTGTACCGGTCATCCAAATTCCAATAGTGAACCACATGTGGGAACGGGACCTGGCACACACGCCGACCGGTGATCGTCGCCGGTAAAATACCGGTGAGCAGCCGTCCACTGCCACTGTATCGCTACCGGTGAGTATGCAATAGTGTATTTAGTCATGTACGCCACTACTTCCCGGTACTGCCGGCGATACAGTGGCAGTGGACGGCTGCTCACCGGTATTTTACCGGCGACGATCACCGGTCGGCGTGTGTGCAAGGTCCCGTTCCCACATGTGGTTCACTATTGGAATTTGGACAACCAGTACAGAGTCGGCCGTCCAAAATCGGTGTGTGTGCAACTAGCGTTAGGCAGCAATTGTAGCCGACGCGGAAGGCATCGGTCACGTAGTGTCCCATGTTAGTATATTTGCCGTCGTGGTAAACGAAGGCGAATAGCTTATACTGCTTCTATTTTGAAGTTTGTGTTTCTGGCGATACCAATGTATAATCAATTTTCAAGTCGATTCCAAACTCCAAAGCCTTAATAATCTTCGTTCAACTGTCGTGGCAGTATTAAAAACACTTCAGATGCAATATGAGGATACCGGAAAGTTTGCAGAGCATCATGTTCTATACCACACTTCGATCTACTCGTTAGTTTTCGACGAAGACATCTCTAAATTTTTCTTGGAGACGAGTACCTTGAGCGCTTTCGTGACAGTCTTCACTTTCTCAATGTTAAGTGGCAACGCGAGGAAAGACTGGATATTCTCAGTCATGTGGTCTCCCGCACGATGAATGCCCAACTTCAATTGCCCTTCAATGATGTGGCTTATCGGTGTACTAATAAAGTCGATCCTTCTGGTTAGATATTCTAATTTTTCGATCTCATTACCTTCCACTCATTACTTGAATCAATGCCCATCAGTCTTGATATTTTCATCCAGTCTCCCGTCTTTCGGCCTAATGTAGGAAGGCATTCAAACTGCCTTACGAAGCGACACATTCCATTTGTAACCAAGGTAGATTTCCTTTTTTCGTTCAACGAGATGTTTTCACCCAGGCTGTTGAGAGTGGTGGACATGCCATCAGGGCTTGCAAAATCGAGTTGATGTAGCAGTAATTGCTTTGATTAAGCAGACCCCTTGGCTACAAACTCAAAAAAGTTGGCTTTTGATATTATTGGCTGATGAAGTGGATAAGATAAGGTGTTGAATCCGTGATTCTTTCTGAAGAAACTCTTCTTTGAATCATGTTGAATGCGTTTTGAAAACCTAGTTGAAGATTAATTTGAATGCTGAATCATGAAACGGCGAGCTGCGTTAGCGACTACTTCACATGGGAAGTAAGTCAACGAATATATTTTTTATTATTTTTTATGGTAAAACAAGAAATTTTGGCTACAAAGCGTCCAAAAGCGTGCCAACGGCACAATAACTTTGCCAGAAAGTAGAAAGTTACATAGTAATGTCAAAGAAGATGAGACTTTTTCACCTTTAGATCCGGAGCCAGTCCACCAGATGATCCTGTTGAGAAATGATCTAACAGCACATAAAACATCAATTTTCGTTTTCTGAAATGTTGATTTCTAGGTGGGTATTCTCGGAGGGATGTTTTGATGTGAGCAAGGTAAAAGTTTCATCGTTGAAAGTAGTAATTGGGTCAGTCGAAGACATAATTTGTATAGCCCAAGTAATTTCCCAAACACCCAACTTTAGTAAGTACCTACTTATACGGATGACAATATTTTGTTACTAATAGCAAAAAGAAAAAATTGTGCTGGGATTTGAACTCATGAAACCCGTGATCATCATGTCGTACCACTCATTTGACAACACTGAGCTATTTAGTAATTATTTACAAAACGATAATTTCCATCTTGAAGCCATTCCACTAGCCGTATTTATTTTGTGAATCAAAATATGTCTGCTATAATAATAACATTGAAGCCGTTTTTGTACAGAACAGAAAATACTGGAGCGTCATATTGATAAGGTTGAAAAACAATGTGTTTGATTCGATAAAACAGATTTATTGTGAGTAATAATATTCAACGGGACCTTGCACACATGCTTACCGGTGATCGACGGCGATCACCGGTCGGCGTGTGTGCCAGGTCCCGTACCCACATGTGGTTCACTATTGGAATTTGGACGACCGGTATAAAATCGGCCGTCCAAAATCGGTGTGTGTGTAATTAGCCTCACGCTAAATGCTAAGTGCATTTAGCGTGAGGCTAATTGCACACACACTTTTTTTAATATTTTTCTAATCATTGAAGCGAGTACACGCAAAACAGTGAATTTTTCCAAACAATTCGATTGGATACAATTGGCTATTAAATTAGCTAATGAATGAGCAGCAAACATTCTCGATGATTTTAGTATTTTCTTCAAAATGCTCACATTCTGTTTCAGCTAGGTATGCTGAATGAACATTTAATGTTTCAGAAATAAGATTTTTATTGAGCAGTAGTGTTTGATTGCTGGAAAGTTCCCTAGAATGTTAAGAGAGAAGGGTTGATTTTTTCTTCATATGAATATGAACAACACTTTTCACATATAGTCAGTGGGCATACTTGAAGACTGTCTATAAATCAAATCATCTTAAAGAACAATTCGTTCAGGCCAGTCTCAACTCCCTACACTGTAGGTTAATGGACTGACACCTATCAAAAACAACTACTCTCCTGGCTAATACCACGAAGGGCGTTAGATTATATCCAACAGGTGTCAGTGCAGGATTCTTCACTGAAGTTATTCCTGCATATGCTGTTGGCGATACAACTGCCGCAATAGATTTTCAATTATTGGAACACACTTGCAGACCGGTTTCGGGCTGTTTGGCCACTCGTCAGTGCAAGGTAGTGTATATCATACTAGTATGTTTCTAATCTTACGCGTTAAGTAGCTAGGGAATAGTCGTTTGCATTTATTTGTGCACAAGATTTCGGACGAACATATTGAACTTGTTAGAAAATACGGGTTTGCATTTTTTTTCAAATCATTTTCTACCATACTCTACTCAAATTGATTTTCTGAAATACTGATGAAATCTTTCTTCATCACTAGCAAATGATATTCGCTTCGACTACCTCTCGGATCATTTACTGGATGAACTCAATATTTTATATTTTTTCTTTTCTTTTCAAGTAATCATTACATTAGCAGACACGCAAGGTTTTCTTGAATATCACTATCCGAATCGGAGGAAAGCATTGTAGATGCTTGCATGCGTTTACTCCAAAGGCCACCACTGTATTGACTCGAAATAACGTCAGAGCGCACCCCGACACGACATAATAGTCCGCACACTCGCCGTCATGTCAGAGTCACAACATAATAATTTAATTCCGGCTTTTAGTTTCGAACCGCTCATAGTTATGTTGGTCGGCATAAACATGCTTCTTTATTCCCGACTGGCTACTCTACTCTACTCTACTATTTTTTTTAAATTGTGAGAGGAAATATCAATCTAATTCAACATTTCTTTATGAGCGAATTGTCCTATGATTCCGGGTTCATTAAGCGTTGTCTGCAGGTTTACATACCTGACGTTTCATCTGTCACTGCGGCAGACATTATCAAAGACGATGCGGCAATGATCGAAATGATCTACCTTGCTGTGATGTGCAAACTAAAAATGGACCTAGTGCGTTTGTACTTATAATGGGTCTAGGTGTCGGATGACCGACTGTTCTTGTACCCGATTGAACCAATACTTTTTCAATTATTGAGAGAATCGTTATGTTATGGAGTGCCGGTATCTATGTCTAGTTGATGTTTAATCTATCTTCCTTACGGTTGATATGCTGAATAGCCTCGGATACTATCTTCTGGTTTTATCAAGAACTTGCGTGCGTTCGAAGGCAATACCATGGCTGTCCTCTGAGAGAGCGTGTTCTGCAACTGCCGATTTATCTATATGGCCATAACGGCAACTTCTTTTATGCTCGTGCGTTTTAACGCTTCTTTTCGTGGTTTCGATGTAGAAGAAATCGCAACTACATGGCTGGGATACTTCATGAATCCCTGAGGCCTTTTGATGAATTGAGACTGTTCTCTATCGTTCTTGTGAGCTTTGAAATGGCCCTCTAACTCCATGTTTTTCGAAGAATCTTCGAATTCGGCCCGTCACACCGCTAATGTAGGGCATTAGCATATTTGCCGTTTGCTCCAGTGTCACCGTGTTTTGGTATGGGTCGTAAGGATCGGTTGATTTCGTCCTGGTTATATCCGGTATCCAGATACGCATTCTTCAGGTGACACATTTTCTCTTGCCCTGTCTACCTCCTGATAGGAGTGCTCTTTCAAATATTCGTCTTTATGGGTTGGTTTCTTATGTACTACATGCCCAAATCTGCCGCTCTCTCGTCTTTTCAGTAATACATCCAGAAAAGCGATTCTCCCTTTCTCTTCTTTTTCCATTTTGAATGGA